GGGCGGCACCAGCTTCCCCGCCGCCTCCGGCCTCCCAGCGTCCAGGGCGCCGGTGCAGGTCCCAGGCTCGACCTCGGTTTACCGGGCTCTGAAACGCGGACGCCGCGGCCCGCACGCCTTCCGCCTCTAGGGCTTTATTCATCCACAAAGGCCCGCGGAGGTGCGCGCCGAGGTGCGTGCGCGGAGACCTGCAGTGACCCAGACGCCCTCCCCCTAGGGGGGCGGTACCGGGGTGGTCGGGGCCGGCCTCCGCGACTGGACCAGTGGCCTGCAGAAGTGACTCTGGAAGTGGGAAGGCCCAGGGACATCCAGAGTCGAGGGGAGGGGGCCACGTACCCTGTGATGATGGGTCTGTTGGGTTTTTGTCCCGAGATAGTAGGGAGCCCTGGGAGAGCGTCAGGGTAAGATGACAATGGCTGTAGAGCCTGGAGTCCATCTTCCAGTCCTTAAGACATACAGGAGCAGAGGACCTTGTTAGGATGTGATCTGGCAGGGCCTGCCCAAGGGGACATGGGGTGGGACAAAGGCCTGATGGCTTTAACAGAGAGCTAGGGGGAATAAGAAAAAAAGGAGAATCTGCTAAAAGTCTCACAGAGCACATACTCTGAGACCCCCTGGAGATTAATGTGGAAACAGGCCCAAGAACTGGTGGCGCCAGGGGGAGGGACTGGGAGGGGGCAGGCACCAGAAGGTGGATTTCCTGGGAGGAAGCTGCTCAATAAATGCATATGAAGGAGGGGTCTTTCTCCCAGGACACCTGTCCTGTACCTCCTCAACCTTCCCCAGCCCCCAAACAACCAGCTCCCTGACCCCACAGTCGGTGCATGACCTGCCACACTCCAGAATCACCAGCCACCAGTCCCCTGGTGGGCCATTCCCTGGCCAGCTTTCCCCACACAGGCCCCCACAACCACTAGTGTCTTCAGCCCCTCAACCTAACCCTTCTCTCATTTTTGCCTCAAAGGAATTGCACTTCCTTTTCTGATTTTTCAAGCCATCATCAAGAAAAAATTTTTTTTGTGGTACTCGAGATTGAACCCAGAGATGTAGCTCTACGACTGACCTATGACCTATACTCCCAGCCCTTTTTTAAAGTTTTCGTTTTTGAGGGCTGGGGATGTAGCTCAGTGTTAGAGTGTTTGCCTAGCATGTATGAGGCCCTGGGTCATCCCCAGCCCACGTGCGCACGCACACACACACACACACACACACACACACACACAATCTTTTTGACACAGGGTTTACTAAATTGACCTCAAACTTGTGCCTTGGCCTCCTGCATAGCTGGGATTACAGGTGAACAGCACTACACCTAGTTGAAAATAATTTTTAAAGGCATAACAGGGTGAAACAGGGAAGCATCTGTTATCCACAAGGCTCAGCTTTCCTGAGATGTTTGATGCACTTATGAGCCACACATTTATTCTCTGCTCCCCTGTGGCTCTTCCCTGTGGATACTGGGGATCATGCATACTGTGCAAGAACTAGCTATTGAGCTTTGCCCATTTTGGTCTCTGTGGTAGCTGGAACATCCCAGAACCCAAGACATTGATGGAGGCCTGGGTAAATTTCTGTGGACATTTGTGGGATTTGGGGTCACGGTTGCTGCTTTTGTAAAGTGCTCTCCACCTGTTTCCTGTTGCCATTGGAAAGGAACACCTAAGTCCCAGCAGCTCTTAGGCAACTGCGGCCAGACGGGTGGGAGAGGACAGTCAATAAGATCTGATTTGCAACATCAGAAACCAGCCAGATCTGGCATATCCCTCACCTGCCCCAAAACTTCCATGGCTCCTAGTGTCCTGTGGACAAACCCTCTCACCCTCATCCAGGCTTCTCCTGAAAGCTGGGTCACAGTCAGCTTGGCCCAGGTTCCTGGAGCCCCAGTCCCTCTGGTGGTGAATCTACCTGCGGTGAGGTCGGTCCTTCAGCCTCCACGCAGCCTCCTTTCCCCCGCTCCACCGCCAACACCATGCTTCAGCCCATCCCTCCAGCGCTCTAGCCCTGGCGGTGCGCGGGCAGGAGGGCACTGGGGAAGGTTGCTGCGCGGGTGGATGGTGGGCGCGCACGCAGGAGAGGAGCGAAGGCGGGGACAAGGTGGGGGGTGCAGGGTATAAACGTGCGGCAGCTGCGCGGCGAACACAGGAGCCGCCGTGCCCAGCGGAGCCGCCCACTAGCACTAGCGCCTCCAGCCGAGACCCTTCCCAGATTCCTGATTCCACGCTCGCGCACCCCGCAGGCCGTCAATCGAGAGGAGGGTCCGCGCGGCAGTCGCGGGACGCAATCCCCGCGGGCGGTGGAGAGGAAGAGGACCGTGAGGCATGAGCGTCGCGGCTACGTCGGGGCCCAATGAATCGTGGTGGGCGCCGGCCAATGCGTCGGGCTGCCCCGGCTGCGGTGTCAACACCTCAGACGGCCTGGCCCCTGCGCCGTGGCTCCTGGACGCCTGGCTGGTGCCACTCTTCTTTGCTGCATTGATGTTGCTTGGCCTGGTCGGGAACTCGTTGGTCATCTACGTAATCTGCCGCCACAAGCAGATGCGAACGGTGACTAACTTCTACATCGGTGAGTGTCCAGCGCCGCTGGGTCCCTGTCCACAGGTCCCCAGGTCGCTCGCTGTTAGGGCCGAGTGGCCAGGGGCGCCCCCAGAGGCGCGTTGGGTCCGTTACAGACCCAGCTTCTTCCTGCAGGGACCCCACCTCCCTGGCGTCCTTTCCCTTGGGTCCCTGAACTTTAAACTTGCTGAACAAACTCCAGAATTGCAACTCCCCCCGTGGGCTGAGAAATTAAAGGGGGCGTTGAGCGGTGATCTCGGAGAGAGCCTGGCCGCTGGCTGAAGTCACATTGTTCCACTGCCTGGAGGGGCAGGGGAAGGGGCTGAGCCTGCGGTCTGTTCTCGACCTCTCCTCAGTGGTTTTCTGAGTCTCCCTTCGTGCCTTGTGAGATGGGGTGCACTACCTGGCACAGGTGTGTGCCCAGGGTTCCTACTATGGTGGCTTTGGGGGCTACACCACTGTCTCCAATTTGGAGACTAGGAAACAGGGGCAAAGGCCTGCTCGGGGAGGAGAGCAGAATGTTTCACGCCAGAATGACTATGCGGCCCGTTCTGGGAACGGAGAGCACCCCAATGTCTCCAGATAACGATGTGGGGGGGTCCTTGGATAAGGTTGGGGGCCAGGGACTGAGTCAAGAAGCTGAGCCCTGAGACTAGTGTCCACTCCTCCCTGGCCCTCAGCCAACCTGGCAGCCACCGATGTGACTTTCTTGCTGTGCTGCGTGCCCTTCACGGCCCTGCTCTACCCGCTGCCCGCCTGGGTCCTGGGCGACTTCATGTGCAAGTTCGTCAACTACATTCAGCAGGTGCTCTGGGTGGAGGGTTTGCGCAACCACGGGAGGTGGGCGGCCCGCAGTGCACCCGAGTGAGTGGGAGTGAGCGGGCCTGGCGCGGAGGGAGGGGTGCAGCGGAACAGCAGGAGGAGGTCCTGGAGTCCTGGGGTGGAGGAACCAGTGGTACGGGTATGGCAGCCAGCCCCTGCAGCTCCGGGTCGGTTTTCCCCACCACCGGGTTTCAGACTTGGGTTATCAGGCAACTCCTCAGTGGCTCCCTCACTCCCCCGTCGGCATCTCCGGGTCTCCTCTCCGAGTTCCCGCTCGTGTGGGGAGACAGGCAGGACCGGAGGTTAGGGCACAGGCCTGACTCCCGGCTTTTCCAGGTCTCCGTGCAGGCCACTTGCGCCACTCTGACCGCTATGAGCGTGGACCGCTGGTACGTGACGGTCTTCCCGCTGCGTGCCCTCCATCGGCGCACGCCTCGCCTGGCCCTGGTCGTGAGCCTCAGCATCTGGGTGGGTGAGTGCAATAAGGGGTGCGAGCAGGGGCGGGGGGAATGTGTGCAGGCCTGGGTCATCCAGGACCATCCTTCCCGCTCTTGGCCTCTGTGGGGCATCTGAAATGCGAGCCCACCGGGTCTCCCTGAAAGAGGGACACCCAGGGTCTGGAAGGCTGGAGCGGCCCTGAGTCGGCCTTCAGTGAAGGCCACACCCGAAGACGCCTGGGGAAAGGGGGCGGAGCCCGAGCCGCCGCGCCCCTCCTCCCAGAGGCTGGATCTTCTTCCCCGCCTGGGGTACAGGCTCTGCGGCAGTCTCTGCGCCAGTGCTCGCCCTGCATCGCCTGTCGCCGGGACCACGCACCTACTGCAGCGAGGCCTTTCCCAGCCGCACTCTGGAGCGCGCCTTTGCACTCTACAATCTGCTGGCTCTCTACCTGTTGCCGCTGCTCGCTACCTGCGCCTGCTACGGGGCCATGCTGCGCCACCTGGGCCGAGCCGCCGTGCGACCAGCGCCCACCGATGGCACCCTGCAGGTGCGCGATGGAGCTGGGTGGCGGCGGTGCCCGAGGCGAGCTGGGGGAACCTGAACCCAGGAGGTCGGGTGGGGGATCTCTGAGGGGTCAGCCCAGCCCTTTCCTCTAACCAGCTCCCTGCCCTCAGGGTCAGCTGCTGGCTGAGCGGGCGGGAGCTGTGCGCGCCAAGGTCTCCAGGCTGGTGGCCGCAGTGGTGCTGCTCTTCGCTGCTTGCTGGGGTCCCATCCAGTTATTTCTGGTGCTGCAGGCGCTGGGCCCCACGGGCGCCTGGCACCCTCGCAGCTATGCCGCCTACGCGCTCAAGATCTGGGCACACTGCATGTCCTACAGCAACTCGGCGCTGAACCCGGTGCTCTACGCGTTCCTGGGTTCCCACTTCCGACAGGCCTTCCGGCGCGTGTGCCCTTGTGCTCCTCGACGCCAACGCGGGCCCCGTGGGCCGGTACCCTCGGATCTCCAGGTCCCCAACATGGAGCTGCACTGCTTGGCTGCCCGCCCAGCCCCCACCAGGACGCCAAAACCCAGGAGCAGAGGGGCAGCAGGGAGGGGCTGTGCCTACTAGGGGAACACACTGCTCCTCTCTGAGCCACTTCCTTCACTCCCTGGGATCCGCGTGGCCCCTCTGGAGCAGGGCGTGCTTCAGCAGCAGCGAATATTCTATTATTATTTTTATGATCATCCCAGATAATCAGAGAAAATGTTGTTACCTTCCCATAGGTCTGCCTGTGATACTCCAACTGTGGCTTGTTATTCCTGCAACTGAGGATGTGCTAACAGTGGTAGTTTCTCCATCTTTCCAGAAAGGGTCAGATGTTTTCACACACTCTCATGTGGCTGACCGTGACATGTAAGAGCCATTCAACTTCAGTGATACTAAAATGTGAAAACAGTGTGCACCTTGGGAACATGTGAAATAGGCTCAGCGGAAGACTCTGGGCCAGACCTGGAAGCTCAGGGGGTGCTTGGTCTTCTGGCAGACCAGGGGCAAGTACTCCTCATCTGGCTGCTTGGGCCTCCTCCCTGCATGGCAGGCTTCTTTGGCAGAAACTTCCGGAAGGAAACCAGGATTCTCAATTCAGGAGCCCCACAACTCTTACTCATAAAGGCAGGGAGAGCCCTGGTTCCTTGTGGGTGTTGCAGAGCTCAGTCACCCTGCAGAACAAGCACCCTCAGGGCTCCAGGCCTTCCAAAATAATTCATTTTGGGTCAGGTGCACCCCCTAGGGTTAATCAGTGCTGATGCCACTATGGGTCTGATCCTCTTGGGCTGAACCCACTGGGGTTCCTGTGTGACTGCTTCCCACTGTGTCTCCAAGACCCAGTACACAGTAGGCCTGAACACCAAGTGTGTTGTGGTATGTGCACAGGGAGCTGCAGGAATTTCCTGTGAGAATAAACACAGGTGCACACACCAGCAGGGAGCTCAGGTACCCATCACAGAGAAACAAGACCCAAGTCCACACAGAAGTGGGTCCTCCAATCCTCATAGTTTTATTTGTGAGAGCCCCAAACTGGAAACAGTCGGATGTCCTCCAGTGAGTGGCCTGTATGCAAACAGTGCCTGGTTCACACACAGGCCACAGGGCAAGGACAGTGCTGACACAGGCACCACAGGCTGGATCTCCATGAACAGAGGCGCTGAGTGAAGAAAGCATACTCCAAGCACACAAGATGCAGGATTCCATGATCTAATACTCTTGAAAGGACAGAACAATGGGAAATGGCCATCAGGGGTCAGGGATGATTGCGGGGGTGTGGGGGGGTGGGGGGTGAAGAACCCTGAACTTGACAGGGGATAAATGGGTGATAAATCTTTACAGAGTCACACATACACCCTTGTAAATGGAAAATCTGAATAAGATAGTGGATTATATTGATGTCAATGTCATAATGTGATACTGGATTACAGTTTTGCCAGATGTTACTAGGAAGGCTTGGTAAGCTTACTCTAGATCTTGCTGCATGATGTCTTAGGAATGCATGTGAACTTATAATTCTCTCAAAATAAAAAAGTTTTAAAAAGCCATGGTGGTGATACATACCGTGACCCCAGTAACCAAGAAGAGAAGGGATGAGGATCACAAATTCCAGCAAATTAGGAAGACTCTGTCTCAAAATAAAGAGCTGGTGATCTACCTTAGCGATAGAGCACTGGCCTAGCATGTTCAAGGACCTGGGTTCCATTGCCAGTACTACAAAAATAAAGCAAAAGAAAAGAAGATGAGAAAATGGTTTGTGGTCCTCAGTTTCCCCAAGTCCAACCTGGGAATCCCATTTTCTAAGGTAAGACGGCGCCACCTAGCGGCCCCCGACAGGGCTCCACCCTCTCGTACGAAGCCTCGCCCAGTAGATATTAGCCACGCCCAGAAGGCAGCAGCCCCGCTGGCGGCCAGGTAGTGGCGCGCGTGTCTCACGAATCCATCTCGCTCTTTTCATCCCACAGACGATTGCTGGACGCCCAGGGGTCGCTCATTCGCACCCAACCCGGACCCCAGCAGGAAATGTACCCGCTGTGAAAAGGGACAAACACAGTCACATCATGCGTTTCCCGTGTCCTAGGCACTTGTTTTGAGGGTCCTGTCCGTGAAAAGATGTTGAAAACATTTCGGGCTGGATTTATTATTAATGTAGCCTACATTATTATGTTCTGGGGTATTTCCTTTTTTACTTTTTAACTGTGCTGGGCATTGAACCCAGAGCCATGGGCAGCAAGTATTCTACCAAAGAGCCACATCCCTAAGGCCTCCTTATTAAATAAAAGTGAATAGTGGGCTGAGTTTGTAGTGCAGGGGCAGAGCCCTTGGCTAGCAGGTAAAGTTTGGGCACTGGGTTCGATTCTCGGCACCACATATGAACGAATGAAACAAACATCTATTGATGATTCAAAGATATTTTTTATAAAAGTGAATAAATAAGCATACGTTTTGTGGACCCTGGCTTTTCTGCCTAATGTCAACAAATTCAGTATCCAAACGTGTATGGATGGCAATGGAGGGTCAGGCTTTGAGGTGAGGGCCAACAGTCTCCTTCAGATTTTAAAAATGATTATTTTGGAGTCCCCTGTGCAGACACACACTGAAAGCCCTGGGGGAAAAGCAAGCCAGAGAGGTAGCATTTAACCAACTTCGTCTGACATTGTAGTCCTTAGGACTTGAGGGCCCTACTGGAAGCCAGATACAGGGGTTAAATAAATAGCTATTTCAAAACAGAAAAGGCTTCAATGAAGACCTGAGGCATGGTGGGGGTGTGAAGAGAGGCCAGAGAGGGAACCTGAGGAGGGCACCAATATGAAGGAGGACACAGGCCAAGGGGCCCTCTGGGGCAGGGCAGGGCAGGCCAGGCGCGGGCCAGGGCAAAGGCACAGAGGTGCAAACATGCTTGAGAAGGAATACATGTGGGGAGGTGGGCACTTTTGGTTTAACTTGGAGAAGCTTGAGAACCAGGCCTGGGTGAATTTGTAAGATCCACCCCTAAATAGAGAGTGAGAATAGGATGAGTGACCAGGATTGGGTGGGCATCAGACTAAAGCTTTGGGGGGTGTCCCCAGACTCACAGGGGCTCCACGAAATGGTCTGTCCAAACCTTGTAGGGCTGGGGTACCCACTTCATGGCTTGCATGGACCTAAATCCACACTCTCCCTTGGCTGCCAGGTCCCCCTCCCCCGTCACCGGGCATCCCGGGATACACGGGAGCCAGCAAGTCTGGGTGTAAATTCCCAGCTCCCTCCCGGGCTAAAAATAGGAGCCCCCTCCCAGCAGCGGGCAGCTGTGGCTGCTGCAGCCCCTCGCCCTCCGGGCCCCTAGCCTGGGGATGCGGCACCCAGCTCTCCGGGTAACCAACCCCGCAGGCTGTCTCCTCCTTCGGGCCGAGTTAACAGGGTCCCTCCGGGGGAGAACTGCGACGCGGGGGCGGCTCGCACCCTCCCCGGGAGTGTTTCCCGCTGCCCTCTCCGGCACAGCGCTCGCCCTCCCCGGGCCGGGCGCAGTTCGGTGGGGCCCGGGCCGCAGGGCGACGCCTGGGCACGGGCCCGCCGGAGCCCGAGGGGAAGGGCGCCGACCCCCAGGCGCGGGTCCCGGCCAGCCGCGGGCTGGGCTCCGAGGCCTGCGGCGGGGCGCACGGGATCGCCGCTCGCAGCTCCAGGACCTCGCGTCCCGCCTCCGCGCGACCCCGCAGGTCTCGACTCCCGTCCGGGTCACCGCAGCCCGCTCCTTCCCGGGTCCAATCCCCGTTTGCACGCAGACTTGGAAACCGACGCTCTAGGGTGCAGTGACTGTCGCGACGCCTCAGCCCAAGGGGCGAAGGTGCAACTCCGGGGCGGGTAGGTCCTTGCCCATGGCCAGGTAATATGGGGAAAGCTCGCGGACTCGGGTGGTCTGGGGTCCCTCAGCTACAGCACACCCGGGGCTGGAGCCGAGCCCAACCCGGTCCCTCCACCTCAGTCGCTCTCAGAGCCCCGCCTCGCCCTCAGAGCCCTCTGCGCTCGGGGCCGCGACGCGCACTTTGCCCACTGTCCCTAGGCAGGGGGCGGGGCGTCCCGTGGCTCCGTTCCCCTTCCCTTTTATTATTTATTATCATTTAAAGGGGCCGGGACCAGAAAATTTCC